CTAAGCTACTGCCTTCAGCCTAGAGCCTGTAATCAGCACAAAGGCCTTTCCTCCAGAAAGCCTTCCTGACTTCCACCACCCCAGCCCAAGACCTCTTTAAGCCTGTTACGCTCACTTTTTCTTCCTGGGTCCTACCACACTCCCAGTGCACTTTTATCCATGCATTTATGGGATTAACATCTGTTGGCTTACCAAAAATGCACTTAAGAATGAACAGCCCAGCTCCTTAAAATGACTTATGAGTTGAGGGGCTGCGGAGACAGTCTGGTGGCAGAGTGCTTCCCTAGTGTGTTCAAGACCCTGGTTTTGCTCTGCAAGAACACCTACTGAAAAACACACGTTTGACTGTGCTAGCACGACAGCCGGCATAGAGTAGATGGTCAGGAAGTATTTCCTGAGTGCACAGATGTCTCAGCAACAGCACGCCTAGCATCATCGCCTGAAAGTAACTCTTCTGTAATAATTCACTCCCCCTGAGGGGCCCTAGGCCAATGGAAGCAAGCAAATCCGGTCTCTCTCCCAGGTCCTTTGAAGGGGAAGAGGCCTCCAGTTGAAACACAGTCCCTGTGTTACTTGCTGCAACAGTTGTGTGTGTGTGTGTGTGTGTGTGTGTGTGTGAAGAAAACACACATCAGTCCAGGGACAGTGCAGAAGAGGACAGGGGAAGGTGCTGCTGCAGCCACAGAGAAAGCTTGGAATGCCTGGCCCGGCCCCAGCCCCAGCCCCAGCCCCAGCCCCAGCCCCAGCCCCTCTCTCTGCTTTTTCCATTTTGGAGAAAATTTCATATTTCTGTGATACTGAGGATGGAACCCAGGCCCTTCACACTGCACTACCTCCCGACTGCTCTTTCACATTTTGAGTTTTGAGACAGGGTTCTCTAAATTGCACAGGCTGGGCTCCAAGGTACAGCCCTCTGCCTCGGCCTCCCAGAGCGGTGCTGCTATCAGTGTGCACCTGGATGGCTGCCCGCCTGTTAAGCATGTCTGAGACCACACGGCACAATGGCCAACACCACTGGCTCTTTTACCCTCGTCCTCGACCAGACCAGCTGCGCTCAAAGTTGGGTTGAGTCACTTATCATACAGGGAACCCCCGCTAAATTCCTCGGCTTCTCGGGGCCAAGGTCTCATCTGCAGAAGGAAGAGAACAGCACTACTTCCCTGGTGGGCTGCTGCGCAAATGACACGGGTTAACTGGCTCCCGTGCACGCCTGGGAACTGCTAGTGCGTCTCTAGGCCTAGTTTCTGTGCCTTGGAGATGAAGATGGACCATCCGGGGATTTCCTGGGTGGTGCTCAGGGGGCAGAAGCAGCCAGAGTGCTCTGCACACACTTGGGTGTGTGGGCCAGAGATAGGACCCGAGGGCCAAGCTGCGCGGGGCCAGGCCGGTCCGGGTTGGAAGCCCACCTCCATCACTGGCTCACTGAGACTCGAGCAAGTCCCTTCTCTGAGCCTCAGTTTCCCCACCTAGGAAGGGCAGATTCATCAGCGTCTCCACTTGCTCCTGTTTTATGGACTTTGGAGCCAGCCGCCTGGGTTCAAATCCCTGCCTGGCGGCTGACAGCCAGGTGACCATGGCAAAGTCAGTGAAGGTCTGTGTCCCTGGTTTTGCTCCTGCACCAAGAGGAAGCAGCAGCAGGAGGACGGAATGAGGACACAGCTATGGGCCTGGCCCGGTCCAGGCTGGCAGAGGGCCCCGGCCACGCCGTTTCTCTGGCATCTGATTGCTGTGCTTGTACCAGGCGCCAAGGTCTGGGCAGGTCTGCAGGGTTAGCAAGGTGTCCCCGGGCCTGTCCGACAGGGGGTGGACTGGGCACTGGGGATGTGGGGGCCTCGGGGGCAGCCAGCGCGGCCAGCAGGTTGCGTGTGGAGGGGTCGGGGTGCGCGCGCCCACGCCTCGCGGCGAGGTGACCAGTGCTGGGGGGAAATGCTGCTAGCTTGGCTTCTTAGTTGCCTTCATGGAGCTCCACAGCAGTACCAAGGCTGTGACCCACGGGGACACTTGAGGCAGCTGTACCTGAAGACCTGGCACAGAAGGCGATTTTCAGGGAGGAATAATAGTATTAATTTAAAAATAAATTCCCAATATTTTATGCTATGATAGAAGTCTCTGAGGAGAGTGGAATGGAAATAGAAGCTTCATCAGAAAAAAGGAATGAAGTTTTCCCACTGAGAAGCTGTTTTTGCAATTTTTTTCTTCAATTTTCCCACGATGTGTGATTAAGCTGATGTGTGATTATGCTATTTTAATATTTTTAAATAGAAACATTTAGAAGTATGAAAGAAATGTTATATTCCAACATGTCAATAATAACAATAAGTAGGAAGTTACAATTTGCAACTATTTCAACTTCTGACAAACAAATATCAGACGTCAACTTAAAGATATGCCAAAGCACAAAAATCTCTGGAAGTGCTCCGGCAGGAGCACAAGCAAAATCTTTGTGTGTCACTGACCTTGACCTCATTCCCATATTCTGGGCAATAACCATGTGTCCCCCTTGGGGGTTCCTCCTGTCAACCAGCCAACATCTGGAAGGTGAGGGACGGGTGTAACTGGCCCTCCACAATCGATCACCGGTTCCACATCCACCTATTCTGCATTCCAGCATTCAGCCAACCACAGACACAAAATATTCCAGAAAATGTTTTGTTTGTACTGAACAGGCAGACTTTTTTCTTGTCATTATCCCTAAGCAAGTGGTGGCAAACCTATGACACATATATTTTCTGTTTCTCTTTTAAGACCAAAGATGTTAATGTAAGAATTTTTTAAAACTGAAACCTTGTATTCAGGTTTAGTTGCAAAGTTGGCACTTTGTGATAAATAAGTGGGTTTCAGATTACAGTTTGGGCATTCGGCCTCTAAAAGGTTCACCATCACTGCTGCAATACATTATAGCAATAGTTAGACAGCATTTGTACTTATTAGGTAGTAGAAGTAACCTAGCCTGAAGGACAACTTCATATAAAAAAGATAGAAAGTGCCAGTTTTGAGAATTGATAATACTTTGAAGAATGGTTGATGTAACAGAAAGTCCCTTTAAGAAGAGCAGCAGATATACTGGCCAAAATTTCTGAAAGTAACTGACATTGGAGCTGATATCTGAAAGGTGAGGGCTTTAGCAACACTCTCCCCTAATCTTAAAATGAGAGATCAGGCTGCAGTAACAGCCAGTGCAAAGGCCCCAAGGCAGGAGCAAGCTTGGTTTATTCCAGGGCCTGAAAGAAGATGCTTATGGTTGAAGCACAGCAAGTCAGAGGAGCATAGCAAAGCTAGACTGCCTTGTAGGCTGCAGTGTGGGGTAGGAATTTTATTTTAAACCCAGTGGAAATCCTTTACAGCAGTTCTCAACCTCCACTCTTTTAATCTTGTGATTTTATGATCTGGGTACTCTTTATTTGCAGATTGTCTTGATTGTATGGCATTTAGCATCTTTCTTTGCTTCTGCCCAGTAGATGCTAGTAAAACACACACACACACACAAACACACACACACGTCCCTCCAAAAAGTCTGCTCTATTTTTATTTTTATTTTTTCTCCTTAAAATAATAAAAAGAAAAGGAAAAAACTGTCTTTTAATACTGCCACGTGTTTTTCTGGGGTCCGCACTCAGCCTGGTACGGAATTACTGTGGAGAGGAATATTGCTGGGAAAGTGTTATGTTCAGGTTCACACTGTTAGCAGACCGCTCCCTTGTCCTGGGCCAAGGCTAAGCACATGTCCCTGGACTTGCCATCCACCTAGTTCAGGGATGAGCCTGTGAACCAGTGATAGCTTAAGAAGCACAATGTAACTTAGGCTAAGAATTTGGGGAGAAGAACTTTGTTTTAGGCTCTCTTCTCCCGCTTCCTGCTAATCTGAGAGGACAGAGGCACTGGATAGGCACCTGCCATTTGCTGCTGCATAAAGTCTAAAAATTGAAGCCAACATAGAACATGCAAAAGCCAAGAGGTGGAAAGAAAGGGCTAGGGATATGGCTCAGGGGCACAGTGCCTGCCTGGCAAGGTTGAGGGCATGAGTTCGATTCCTGATGCCAAAATACAAACAAACAACAACAACAACAAAAAAAAAAAACCAGAGAGAGGTGGAAGGAGAGACCTGTTGACTTTATCTGCATTCTGAACCCAGCCCTGCTTGTGAACTTTTCATTGACAGGAGCCCCAAATTCAGATTTTCTGAGACTTTTTGCCAAGAGAGGGCAAAGGGCCCCACAGAACTCAGGCTTGGCCGTCATTTCTCCTGTGATTTTGCTCCACCGGGCCTTTACCTGCCCAGATGATAGCTTCACTTTTAAATCCTGCCAAACTTAGCCCCACCTTTTCTAATCCTCCTAAAGCCTCCTCTAACCATTACCTCAGCCAGCGTCCTTTCAGACAACCTGCAAAAGCAGCTATAACAAGTGATGACAGCCAAGACTGTGCCAGTTATTGAGTAGAGCCTGCCAATAGCAGAAAAATGAAGCTGAGTGGTGCTTTTCTTGAGGGGAATGTATTTTATTTTTACTTTTAAATGTAATTGATGCAAAATAATTGAACATATTTACATGATACAGTGTGACAATTTGTACATGTATACAATGGTAACGATCACATCAAGGTAATTAGCATTTCCTTCTCTTTTGACATTTATCATATATTTGTATTGTGAATCTTTAGATTTCTCTCTTCTAGTTCTTTATGAAATAGATATACATGTTTAAACTATACTCACCCGACTATACTGTAGAACACTAGAAATGATTTCTCTTTTCTAGCTGTATTTTGGTATTAAAAAATCTAAAGTCGGGGGCTGGGGATTTAGCTCAGCGGCAAAGTGCCTGCCTGGCAAGCGCAAGGTCGTGAGTTCGGTTCCTGGTACCGGAGAAAAACCAAAAAAAAAA